ATATGCAACGAAAGGAGACTGCGACTACACATAAGGCCACACCATCTTGGTCTTCATGCCTTCGATTGAAAATTAATTTAAATTAATATTAATTTCACAAATCTGAAAGTTATTACAATTAAAAAAATTCTCACCTCCAGGCCACGATGCCCAAGGACAGTCCCTTTCGGCGATCCATCAAAAGCACTCGTGAGGCCGGCTAGCCGTCTACGAAGCTGGTCATCGACGCCATTGCCACCACTGGAAGTCCCGGTACGATGTTGAGCCATCCCCCTGTCCGGTGGTTTGTCGGATCGGCGCCGATTAACCGGAACGTTGGCTTTTGGGGCTTGGATACATTCTGCCTCCGTGGTTTCTATTGGGTCAGTTGTATCTCCAAGCAAACTATGGCTCGGTCTACTTGCCTCATCTCCATCATCATCTTCATCTTCATCAACATCGTCGTCGTCTTCTTCGTCAGCATCTTCACTACCACTGCTACTGCTGCTAATTTCGCCAAAAAGATCGCGACGATGAACCACCGCCCTATTGCCTATTTTTAAAAATGAGAACATAAGTTGTGTAGAATCGCACGATTTACTATAACATATTTTTGCATCTATTAATGTGTGATTATATGAAGTTTACTGGGGCTAATTTCATATTTGCAATTATGGTGTATACTGTAGAACGTATGTTGTAAAGCTTTAAATAAAACCTATAGAAGTGGAATTACCTCGTTTTCGCAACTTAGTCTTGTTGCCAGAGAGACTCAGTTGGACGCATTCTGTCCAAAGTCCTTTGATATAGTAGCTACCATAATTCCCAGCGTCAGATCATGGACTTGGTACATTCTCAGACAAGCCTCGTCTCCCGAGAGTTGGAGCATGGTGCTGCGAATAGCAGAACTCAATGATGATGCCGAATACGGTGTCGGTAAAAAGTCTGAAAATGTATCAAGTCCATGGTCGGACGCTAGGACTTCAGACAAGGTGTGTCCAACTAAGTCAACTTACTTCTATACATTCAAAGGAAACTGCGACAATACCGAAAGCAATACCATCTTGGTCTTCATATCTTCGATAAAACCTATAGTCTAAAATTTTGCTCATTAATTATAGGATAATTCCGAGATAGGAGAGTACTAGTGGCAAGTGGACTCAATTGTGAAAACACAATCAGGATTCAATGTAACAGGGAATTCCGTTGGCGAGAGTCATTTCAAAAAATGCAGATGGTGCAGGTTCAAAATGCAAATAAGTAAGATGCAGGTCAGAGAGTTAAAACATTAATACTTGATACATTAAGAGCCTGTCAAGAATTTTTTTAGCTTAAGATGAAGATCATTGTCATGATTGAACAGAATCCCAGTACGAATTCGCAGAACCCTGAGTATGTTAAAGATTGAATATTAAGACAGAATAAATAACAAGCGCAACCTGTTCTCAATCGATTGTTCCTAAAAGAAAAAAACACCAAGGATTCCAGGTTATCTGAAATATTAAGATACGAATGGTGATATTTAGAAAGAAAAACAAAAGAAGTGGATATATAATTTCTGTCAAGATGCCCAAAACAATAAGTAAAGTGAAAAGCATCCAAGAAATTGAAGCTCTAAACTTTAGAATTAATATAATAAGAGGCTGGAACTCCCTTTGAATAAATGCATGCATACGCAGTACGTAGTATGTACGCAGTGAAGAATAAAAAACGTCATAAATTAGATTAAAAAAATAAAGGGTTATAGATGTTACGAGAATAAATATTCAAGAATACGGAAAAATAAACGAACTTATTAAATCACCAATTTAATTTGGAATAAATGATCTCTAAAATGCGTTCAAAACTGGGACATAAGAAAGCATCTAGGCAGTGAGAGATGAAAAGCTATGTTCGATAATGACGATGAAGGATATGATAGATGAAGAGAGGTTTAACAGTTAAGAAAATTATTTACCAAAATATCAATGAAAACCTTAACAAATAAGTAATCTAAATAGTACAATAAATATCAATTATAAATAAAAACGTGTTAGACTAGGTGTTCGCTCAGACGGCTTCCAAATTGTAACAAGATTTTCCATTTCGAAGGAAAAGTTGGTTGAAAGGAATCCGTGATGTGGCTTCACTTGAAAACGAAGGAGGATTTCCGTGTGGGGAAAACTGTTGTTGCTGAACTCACCGCCCTGCAACACCGATTAACCTGTGCTGAGCTTTCGTCTGTACGGTGACAGACAGCATCAGAGCAAGAATCCATACTTTACAAAATGTAGCAAAAATATGCTAAAAAAGAGGAAGTGGCAAATTGCAACCCTAGTCACTTTTTTACACACCTAACTTCGTGATCTTAATGTGACATCCCATTATTTGTTTTTCGTTTCTAGTAGGATTTAGAGATAATCAGTAAAACATATATATGAACTGTATTCACACTATTTCATTTAAGGTGATGAATGACTGATAGTTGAATATTCCCACAATTATATGAGTAGAAATGGCGTTCCAAATGAATATCACAATGCCTTACTTTCCTAAAAGGTATTCTCATCCAGAGTGGACCGAAGTTTCGACCTCGCCAGGGTCTTAGTAACAACTTAACGGAACTTAAACCATGACAGTACAGCGAATAATCTTGGCACGTTAACGGCAATATGGTGTAGTGTTAACATGCCAGGAGTATACGCTACACTGTCATGGTTCGTCCAGCTGGTAGTGAAGATAAGACCTAGAAAGAATCGAAACTGCAGTCCACCCTGGACGATAATATCTTATGAGAGCACTTTGTGAAATTCATTGGGAATATCATGCCTACGCATATCATTGTGGGAAAATTCAACTATCAGTCCTTCATCACATAAAATGAAATAGAACGAACACAGTTCATATATCTCATGATTTGGTTGGCTAGCATATGACTGAAGTTACTTCATGAATCAGAGTTGCGCTCAATGTCAGCTATTTTTTTAAACAAATAAACTAGTATACAACCCTCTAATGTTGATGCATGTTTGGGTTCGTGCCATTTCCTAATGTTTATATGTAATGCTAATATCAAAAGAAATGTGATACATCTAGCTAGATTCAAATCTAATCTAGCATACTTTTATTTTTCAGTGGTTCTTCCTGCTCCCCCTCTCCTTAAGCCTATCTAACAGCCAAAAATAAATCATAAATTTTACTTTTCCACCCTCATTGCTCCTATACAGAATTTGGCTATTTTGCTAATGTCTATGGACTCCTAAATTTTACTCTATGATGTGAAGTCAATGTAACCGGCAAAACGTGCTTTGGATTAGTCTATTGAGTGCCCTGTATGAACCATGTGTTCAGCGAGCTCAGATTTTTGTAACCATAGACATTATTACAAGCGGTTTCGGTTTCACATAGTCACTTCTGGATGGGTCAGCAGGTCTTCCTCAGATAGACATTATCACATCAAAACGAAGCGTTGTAGCAGTCTGATAAAAAAAGTACGAAAATTAGCCAAACGAAGAAAGAAGATGCTATTTTCTCTTTATACAATGTTCTGATGTTCCCTTCCTGAGTAGATCACCCAAATTTTTCGTAACATAATACCAAAGCAAAATCAGGAACCGAGTAGAAAGGTCCAACCGTCTATGTCGTCCCAGATAGCAATCTTCCCTCATCTTATTACTGACAACTAAAACATAGATACGAAGAGTAACTCGGTTTTGATGAAGCTCATAAGGTAACACTGTTGGGGAAACCTTCTTTTCGTATGAAAGTGCATGAAGAAGATATTCATAGGTTGATCACACCATAAGACGACGGCTGAATCCCGTTGTAATGCAGCCGTTTGGCTTTAAAACGACGTCTAGGTTGACGCAGTCAACGAGACATCCTCCCTCGCTTCGGGTAAAAACGCACGCACACACACAGACAAACACGAGAAAAAGTAGCAGGACCAATATGAAAAAAAGTTAGCCAAACCAACCTATGTCTATCTTTGCCTATTCATTTTCGGTTTATGACTATTATATAGAGCAATATAGAGCCAGATAGTCTTCTTGATATAGCGCAAACGTTAGATTTTTACAAGAATGAATTTCATACCTGATGATATCTATCATATGATGGACGAAAGCTCAGCCCATTCTCACACAAACCAAGGAGGCCGTCTCATGGACTGCGTCAACCTGAACGTCGTATTAAAGCCAAACAACTGAGGTACAACGGGATTAAGCCGTCGTCTTCTGGTAGGATAAACCTACGAATCTCCTCTTCATGCACTTTCATACGAAATTAATATCTCCCCAACAATTCGAATGTAAATCTCTATTCTTATATTGTCTTGAAACACTATGTCTCAACATTCCGATCTCCTGGTCCCTGTGGCCTACGTCTGCTAAATGCAAACTCCTTATTGTCACTGATTTGATAAATCTTATTTTAACTATATGTATGAATGAAGAAGAAATTAATAAGGAAATCTGCGTGTGTGGGTTTCCTATACATGTATCTGCCCAACTTATCACCTTCTTTGCTCACTACTAGATAAAAAAGGTAATACACTATTTTTCCTAACTCCATAGTAAAATTATTATTTGCATCTATTCTATTTATAAATTCGAGGAATTCACCCAAACTATATTTGCCGTGTAACCAAACAGCAAGTTATCGTTCCTATAACGAACTAATAACCTTGGAACTAGGAGTGTCTATTGAAAACCTTTAATTTCTAATTGGGCCATGTAGTTATTAGCTAAAATAGAGGCTAAACAATCCCCGCGATTGTTCATAGACCTTAGCATTGAAGGTAAAATATCAATTATTCATTGCCAAATTGATTAAATTAATGATTAAATCTTTGCCTAACCTTTGCTTTCATGATCTCATTATCTTGATGCAATGCAAACTTTAAAGCCTTTATTGTCCCGTTTATCGAAATATTAGTGTACATGGACGCTGCATCGAAATTTACCAGCAAATATCCTTTTCCTATCGTCTGATCATCAACTAACTATATCAAGTCGCAAGAGTCCGTTATCGAAAATGTCCAAGTTTCGGGGATTTACTTTAACCGAGTAAAAATAAGTCGCGATGTATTATGCATCACACTACCGCTATTATTTTCAATAATCCTAAATGGGATACCTTCTTTATAAATTTTGTCTTCCTGTCAGCTTGCAAAAAAGTTGCATGATATACTGAGAAAATGGAACATCAAAACTATGTAAAAAGAGAAATTAACCCTTTCTTCAGTAATTCCTTCATTTAAAGAATTTTCACACCATCATTCTAGATCAAGCTGCTACGAGGTTTTGTATTC